GCATATATAACGCCGTCTGAGTCATGGGTAAATGCACATGTAAATGAGTGCAATGCATGAGAAGTACGTTAATAAAACTTCTCGGAACGTCAAAAGACCATTATATCTCTGATTAATATCATTTTACATGAATAAATAACATAGACATCCTTAACTGCTAAGAGTAGAAACACTTATGAAATAACATTACGTTTACATATCGTTACCTGGATCATGCCAAAAAAAGGAAGGAGTAGCCTTAACATACCTGAATCGATTTTCTGGACAATCCCTTTAATATACGTCAATTGCAACAAATCTTCAAAAGGTTCTCGGTACAAGTTCTCTATGAACGTGTCAAGAAGATGCCTCTTAGCATGATTGACCAGATAATGCATAATAGATTTTGGAACCAAATCATGTGTATTCCTCCTCACAATATCATAGTAAGATGTTATGAGTATTTTCGTCACTATAATCTCAATATCATTTTCCTCCATCTCCCTAACAAGCTCAAGTGCTACCGTAACGTTGTTACATTTGAATAAGCCATCCAACAACTCATTATATGTGGCAGTATTACCCGAGCAGCCAAATGTTTCCATTTGATTATATAGCACCATTGCCCATTCAACTCTACCACTAAAACACAAACCTTTAATAAATTTATTAAAAGTAATGGTATTTGGTGGGAAATCTTCTATTACCATGTTATCTAGAAGACTATAAGCTTGTTCAAACATGAAATTTCTGCAGAGTACATCAACCATACATGTATATACCACAACATTTGGATGACAACCAAGAGTTATCATCCTATTCCATATCTCAGATGCTTTAATCACATCTCCAGATTTAGCAAAGCCATAAATGAGGGTACTGTAGGTTGTCGAATTTGGATGGCAGTCACTTCTCTCCATCGCATTACAAACAGATAGAGCCATATTCATATTACCAGCCAAACACAGACCATGGAGGAGTGCATTATATGCTACAACGTTGGGCAAAATTCCCTCTTTTATACCATCCCACACGTAAAGAGCTTCATGCCATCTGCCCCTCAATGAAATTCCCTTAATCAAACAGGTAAATGAGTGAATATTTGGAGAACAGCCGCTAGCAAACATCTTGCTCAACAATTAAATATGGCTTTCCTCTACTCCTATCACCCCATATCCGTAGTTGATGTTGAAGTCTAGCTTCTTCAATTCTTTATATTCCAAATGTTAGAATATACTATAAGCCATGCGTATTGTTATAGTATTCTTTATGAACAATTATTTATTTACTTGTTTAAATTCAATAAAGTTTCATTTTAAATAGATCATGTGTTGGTTTGTGCGTCCATTGCTTACATAGTAGATGATTTAGTGTATAGAGTTTAGCTTATACACGGAAGATTAAATCATCGGTTCTTGTAAGACATAAAAGTTAATGTTCACAATCTAATGATGGAATTGGACAAATCATCGGAATGATTGTAGCACAAGATTAAATATAATTTATCTTGATTATGGGAATGGTTTAATTCCAACTTCTTGT